CTGAGAGTAAGGCACAGTTCCAGAGACAGTTGGGGCTCCAAGGCAGCAGCCATAATTTGAAGGAAACACATGCAAAAGGATACCAGGGCCCTGGAAAACCTGTTACAATATCCAAGCTGTTTGTCCAGCTCACTGATGGGACCCTGTTCCCATAGCATGACCCTCCCAAAGGGACTCAGAACACCGTGTAGAAGTGACACAGACACAACTTCTGAGTTGATTTCCAAGGGAAAAGGCTGCTCCAGCAGCAGGAGCTTTTCTGACCTGCTGAGCCAACGGGAAAAGACCAAGAGGAAGACAAACTGCTGAGGAGGGCACAAAGGAGGCAAGGCTCCAGGACCCCCACACCAAGGCCAGGCATCCCCCAGCCTTGTTCCCCCCACAACAAGCATGCTGGGGCAGCAAGCCCACCCCAAAGGGATTTCATCATAAATCGTGATGAGGTCGTTTCCTTTCACTCCAGCGTTTCCATAGCAACAAGCAGAGGCGATTCTAATCTCCCATATAAAAGATGCCGTTAAAATGACACGGTTTGGGGTCTGGTGTTTTTTGGGGAGGAGAGAGGATCTGCAGCTGCTGGCAGCCCCTGCATGGCGTGCAGCCAGCACCACCACGCGGCACACGGCCTGCCAGCCCCTAAGCATCATGTCTGGGCAGGAGGCAAGCCACAGTCATGGGAGAGCTTGTGAAATGCCCCTGCTGAGATCTCACTCATTATTTGCTTTGCCTCCCAGCTGCCAGCACACTTAAAGCTGAGGTAGCACAACCAGAAATGGAGTCAGTCCCCATGCTGTGGCACTCCAAGATGGGACCTCTCTGGAGCTGCCAGCACGGTGCGTGTTGCAGAACAAGTCTGCACCTCCCAGCAGACCAAGTCTGCCCTTTCCATGTCTGTTGGGCCTGGCCAGAGGTGTGTGCCTGGAAGCGTGATCCAGTGGAAAACAGTGGAAGGAGATGGAGGAAAACACATTCTGTATATGGATCTTCCCATATAGATTCATAGCACAAACCCATTTGTTTCTCCTTTCTGTTCCACTGAACAGTTTGTAGTTAAACTCCTGCAGCCGTCCGCACGGCATCAGATCATTCAGCTGAGAGCACCTTCCATGACACAGAAGATTATTCAGAGCATACTGGCTCCAGGACACAGGTGATACTGCACAGTCACTGGGGTAGAGTGACGTGAACCCAGGACACAAGTAGGCTTGTGCTTTAAAGCAGAGGCATGTAACCTGAACTGGCAATTACTGTCCGTTTCCTCCAGGAAAGTGCAAAGCACTCCCCAGACTCCCACATACTGTTCAATTAATTCAATTCTACGTGGTTCAGAGGACAAGTTCCACTCTGGTTAAAATAAGATGGGCATTATTACTGTCATTGTTCCCACTCTCCTGCCCAGGTAACACAGGTGTGTATCTTAATTCATGACAAGAAATTTTCAGTCATTTCACAAGGCTATCAAATCCAACACGTTGCTCCTACGCAGAGAGGAAAATATCCTATTCTTCATTCATCGTGGTCCCTAATAAATAAAGCAGTATGTAGCACAATTAGACCAGCACATAAAAGAGTAAATCACAAGGCTTGGAGCAGGGCTCCTAGGTAGTCTGGTAATTTAGGCAGTAGTGCTTCAGAAATATCAAACTGTTTATGAGATGTCAGATGAATGCCAACACTAACACTGTGGTACCAACATCTCCTCTAGAGCATGCTAGGAGTAGCACCCATAAAAAATAAGACTTCCACTTTCCCTAGCCACATCCTGGAGTAACATCTCTCTAGTTATTATATTAACACCGATATAATCTCCATAATGTCAGCATTATTTAGGCTTGCAAAAGATCAATTCCAAATTCCACACAAGGGTAGACAGAACTCCAAAACTGGGCTTTGCTTTCACCATGCCATGCTTCCATGCAAACAAACAGCAACAACAACAAAAAATCAGATAAAACCTCAAGAATTTTTATTTCTGGAGAAGTGTTTTTGTTTCCTTAGAAATTGCAAAGATACTCTCTCCAGGAGAGCAGGGGAGAAAAACAAAACAAAAACAAACAAGCAAAAAAGCCTGAAATATTTCTGATCAATTTTGTTCCATATAAACACAAACGAAGTCATGTATTTCACTCCCATGCATGTACAAAAACATCTTAAGTAAAATATCTTTCACACATAACATAAGCATTAGTGTCAGAATTCAGCATATAATCAGATTGGCCTCACCTACCCCATCTAATCTTATTGTCCTATTTTCTTTTTCAGTTGTAAATTTCTAAGCAGGGAACATCTCTTTTTCTGTACAGCGTTATGCATATTCAAATTAGCATGAAGAGTCTCGGAATTAAATCACTAGGCAGCATGGTCTGACCTATGCTAAACTTTTCACATTGACAGTGAACTTTGTTGGACGCCAGGTAAAACTTCTCAAAGGAATAAAAAGGGAAACAAATATCATGCCCAGCACTCTCTCACCTGCAATCCTCTATCATTCCCATGCAAAATACCTCAAAAGCCTAGTACTTCATGGCAAAATAAATCTCTAAGGACATCAGTGCTACTGGACATGGATGCATTAAACCCTCCATATTCCAATTTTCCATTCATTCACCTTAGGAAAGGGAAGGGATAAAGATGAAAGAATGAACAAAATAGTAAACTTCTGAGGCAGATAGGCCAGCAGAGCACTTTACCAGGGACCAGAAAAAAAAGAACCAACTGCGAGAGCAGAGCTTCATTCCAAGCCGTTGTGTAATCTCAGTGTAGCTTAAAATTTGGGGATTACATGGTCAATGAACTTCTCACTAGCTCCTCACACCTAGTAAAATCTTATTTCATTCGTCAGAAGAGCATACTGTCTGTATCTGAGTTGGTGTGCTAGATTTGAAATTTCACTATTTCATGCATGATGTACAGCGCTGTAAATTCCAAGTCTGCAAACGTTCAGAAGGGAAAGGCTCACCTACAAGGTAAAGCTTCCATATGCACAAAAGAAAACATCCAGTGCACAAAAGTCAAAAGCAACACAGCATAATGGGAAACAGGAGGTACAGATTTAACTCTGCCATCACTTTTTACATGTACAAACCATGCTGATGCATTTCTAATCCCTGCATAAACAAGCTTCCCAAAGAGAATCAATAACACATCTCCCTTATACTGCAACAACACAGCTGAATCAATAGAGGGCTCAGGGTTGGCTTGTAGCATGTGTATAACAGGGCGAAGTGAGTGTGGAAAGGGGATATGAAATACGAAAGCACGATTAAAAGTAAGACAGAGCATCTGTACTTGAGCAATATAAAGAAAGCACTTAAGACTGAGGCTTAAGCGGTTTAACTAAAGCCATGGAGAGCAGATTTTTAGCCCCTCTGAGATCTTGCAAATGAGCAAGCCATGCTGACAGCAGCCACTCTGTCCTCTAGCTCCTGAAAATGGTGCAAAGGACTTTGCTTATGTGTCCTAAATTCAAAAATATTTCACAACAGTTTGGCAAATGCTTCATGTACAGTTGTTCTAATGCGGTATTAAGGACAGACCCAAGAGCCAAACCAGGCTGAACCTCAGGACCCTGGTCTGAGCACATCCTGTGTGCTGTGGAGAACCCTGGATCTGCTGTTTGAAGTAAGATGAGCATTCTGCTTTTAGACCAGTACTACAATTTCAATGATAAGCACTACTGAATGTGTAGAAGACGAAAAATATCTGCCTAGCAGGAAGACAGGAAAGGCTGAATTCAGATTGCTTCACTAATATCGATGGAATGGATGCCTTTAGCTGAGGTAATCAAGTTCAACTCACTTTATTGGCGCATAGTGGAAAAATAGATACTTCTAAAACAACACTCTCCTGACCTCCTTTAGACTTCTACTTCTAGGTCAGACCCATGTTGACCTAAAAATGACTGTTTGCTTTCAGCTGCAAATAGGGCCCTGAGCAACAAATTCAGTTGCAGAAGTCTAAAGTTCAGTCAGAGGACACCATCTAAAATGCTTTCCTTGTACTATGGCAGTCAGATAGCACAGCTGTCCTATACTTGTTTATAATAAGCTGCTTTGTTTAAAACAAGTATAATGTAGGTCACTAACATTTCAGTGTGCACAGAAGCATGTTCCAGCCAGCAACAGTCATACTCCAATGGAAGAAAAGCTCACAGCTCTAACAAAACTCTCTAAAGGAACAAAGTACCTTTTTAAATAGTAACTAAATCTCACAGACTTCTAAGTAGCAAATACTATTATTCTTTTTTTTTTACAGTTGAGAAAACAGGGGCCTTGCAGTTTTCCTAATGGTGACTCAGAGGGAATCAAAATAAAGATTTCCTGATACTCTGGTCCTCTGTTCAACTACTGACTAGACTTCAAAAAGCTAGAATTTACCTCCCAGGAGGAACCCTTAAAACTGCAATGGGCAATTTTAACTCCAATGTCCATAAAAGCCTGTAGCTACACATTCTTATTAGACATAGAGGAATTTAATGTTTGGCTTCCACTTTTGCAAAATGGAAGAGAAATACAGTTTGGAAAAAAGAACTAAGACTAGGCATGTTACAAGGAAACAGGAAAAAAAAATACTATGCCTGGAGCTCATCCTTTCAAAAGATAAACTTGCAATACTAAGGACAAATGGGAGGTCTGATAAATCTCCCTCAAACATCCCAGTGGGTTACAGGTATAAAACCAGTTTAAGTGACTGTTCATTCTTGATTCGTGTTCATGCTAGCTTCTTTTGAGAGAGATACTCACTGAATCAAGATAAAGACTGAGTTGATCAACTGAGGACTGTGCAGAACAAAAATTGTCATCAGTCAGCTGAGCCATAAAAGCAAGCAGTAAAACAGATTCTGCTTCAGACTAAGTTGTCAAGATAGCAACTGGCCTGAAGTGGCTACACTCAATCCAGTAGGAGTGAAGGAAAAGTTTGCACTGACAGAGTACACAGAAATGTACACAGAAATGTACACAGAAATGTACACAGAAA